GCTGGTAGGAAAAATTATACATTGAAAGCATATATCTCTCTGTACAGAGGGAGCCTAAGCTGGTGGTTTAAACATGGTGTCTGATGTTTGGAAGGCTAATATCAGGTAAGATCAATTCAACCCTCGGGAAACAGGGCTGGGATCAGCTGCAGTTAGTGTCTGGTTTCTAACTGATCATTATTTATGATGAGTCATAACACAAGTAGCTCCCAATGATTCCCAAACCTTATAAAAGAACAGTTTACAGCATTTTCTTTAGCTTATTTTTGGGCAGTCTTCTGCTTCAGAGAAGTATTGGCTCAGCAATGATTCAATGTATCTCTGGTAAGTAAGGCTGTAAGGACATTAAACATGGCAAGAGACACATTTCTAAGTTTATAGCTCTGGCAACCTTTTTTTTTTTTCCTCCACAGTAGCTATACAGACAAAGTTCACTCCACTATTTAATGAAGAATAGTTGGAAGAGTCTCTACAAAAAGACAATTATGTCCTTTTTTCAAGATGTTCAAATAGTCAATTCTTTAAAATGATAGTTTAAGAAATCAGAAATTAATCCTGGATTTCTTCAGCCTGGAGACTTCAGTTAATGTTGATGGAATGAATGTGTCCACGCAAATGAAGAAAAAGGACAAAACACAAACATACTAAAGGGTGCTCATATGTACTGCTGTCATTCCAATTCCAGATAAATCCTCCAATATATTTCTTGTAAAAAGGGTTGTCACACAGATGTCTCACCAAGCTTTATCTTACTTGTCTGTAAACTTGGAAGGAAATAAATATTTCATCTTTTTGCTCTAGTCTTTTCTTCTCTGAGCTACATTTTTATACTTTGACCACCTTTTCAAAGGCTTCCCTGCAATGGTTTACCTCTCCAACTACATTTGAACAAGAATTTAGGACAGGTGTATAAGCCTTTCAGATATGCTGTACCTGAAAGTCTTTCTTTAGGATTTCAAGTTTTTGAAAGGTGCCTTATTTTGAATAGCCTTGTCTATTGTCTTGTTAAGTACACTGTCTTCCCTCTTTGTAGTATTTCTAAGAGAATTTTGGCAAATGGTGCATGTTTGTTTTGAATATCTAATAATTTGTCTGCCAGCATTTAGCAGTTCTGGCTTCCTCTTTTGATTTCTCTATGGCACTTATTCTTCATTTGTAATGTACTTCTTTTTGAAATTAAGCACTGCTAAAGTGAATCTATTTCTTTTCATAATCAGAAAAGATAATTGATATTTATTAATTAGGGTATTCAAAAGTAAATTTCTAAAACAGGTCTTGCAAAGCTATCGTTCTTGTTGCCTCAAAAACTGTCTTGTTTCATGTCCCAAAAGTGATTTTCACTCATTCTGGATAACGGGACATGGAATCTCATCAGCATATTTTTCTACTTCGCTTCTCATCACCCCTAGCCAGTCACTATCACAGTCCTAGCTAAGCCATCTCAATCTTATACTTTTCTTGTCTGGGACTTAAATTTTCTGTCAGTAAAGATTTCGTGTCATTGGTTAATCACCCACTCACTGATTTGATCGTTTTACAGATAAAAGTACCCTGGACAAAGCATTTTGAAAATAAAATGGGCTGTGTAAAAGAAGTTAATTAGCCAGCTCAAAATACCAGCATTTTCAGATGAAAGGTACTTCTGGTAAAAGCTAGTTGCCTCTCAGAAGGGTGACCTCAGAGTCTAATTGCTTATAGAAATTGTAGCTATATATATATATACCAGTACCATATGTAAATATCTGTTTGTGTAAGATGCAACTCTGTTGTAATGTCCCTAAGAAGCTATTTACTGTAATCATAGCTGTGGGTTACGGGTTCCTTCAAATCTTCTCCAGTAGAAAATAACCTAAATATTGCTAATGATATCTCTGTTGTTATGAAATACTAGGCAAAGCAACTGAAAAAAATATAAGTATGCAGACTGCAACAGTAGTCAAGAAATGAATTCAATAATGTAGGAGACATAGTAAGACATGAGACTGATAAGCAGTACCTTCTCTTTGCCTCATTCTCTTTAGTCCAAAAAGAAAATGTGAACAAGACTGCATCTTTTTCCTCTACTAACTGGAAGAATTGTCTTCCCCAGTTTGTCTAAAAAAAATTCCCAGAAACGAAGAAATTAACACAGCAAATTACAGAAAAAAGGAGAAACTAGAACTAGCAGAAGGGCAGAGCAATAAAAAATACAGTCAATCTGTGGGATAGTTGGAGAGCTTTACAACCAGGAATATGCTTAAAATCTGAGGGAGATAAGAAGAAAACTGAAAGGCTGAAAATACCTTGAGTTCTCTCCAACAGATAACAGTAATATTGCCTGCTGTTCCCAGCAAGTGAAATTGAATTGCTTTCTTGCTTTTAAGTTTAGCAGTATTAGTGTATTACTCTCGATAAATTGAAGTTTGGCTGATAAATCCCAGAGTAAAAGCTACTTTCAATTCCCCATTTATAGGAAAGGAAAAAGCCTTTGTGTAAGACATTTCCATTAGACTTCTGTGATTTGTCTACAGCTCTTAATGGAGGATATTAAACTCACCTTTAAGGTCTGTTGCTATTCTTGCTTTAACAAAATAGATAGATACAAAGAGAAATAGAGGAAGGGAAGCAGTCTGGAAAACATGCCTTTTTGTTGGCATTCGTGACTTGAAATGACTAATCTTTCAGCAATCCAGACTCGAGCAAGTCACTGTCAAGGTGAACCTGCTACACCTAAATTCCTGCAGAAAGTGTCAATAAGGGAAGCCTGCCAATCCTGGGGAAACCAGACAAGGCTTGTATGAATTCCACAGAGCAAAGTATTACCCTCTACTATAGGTGGGCTGAAATGGCCATTGCACTGGATCTGCTGTGTTGTTTGCTAATTGATATTACAAAAAATACTGTAATTCATAAATAAGTTTTAGTCTTTCCTTTTTCAACATGTGGCCTTATAAAGGGAATACGTATTCTAGTAGCTAAGGAATATTTTTATACAACTTTTACAAATGAGCTATGCACTTCCTGTTTATAATGATACCAATCCTTCACTAAAACCAGCCATTACCATGAATAAGTTTAACTTATCCCATTCCAGTCAAAAACACCAGTGTTACTGATTCCTTTACTTACAAGGGTGAACAATGGTTCCCTGAAGCAAAAAGGAGTTACTGTATGACATTTCATACCATGACTCAGAGGAGGATAGATACTGTGTCACTGTAATTCAGTGCTGCACATTTTCTGTTGCCTATGCATTGAGGTGATGAAATTCACTCTTTATCAGTAGAGATATAAATTTTTTTTAAGTTAGAAAAGATGTAAAATCAATAATTTAAGATGTATCTTCTTAACAATGGCTTGATTTTTACAACATTTAAAGATGAGAACATTTTGATTAAAATTATAAGCTCACAAGGCAAACATACTTCCATCCTGTTCTGTTAGTGAGGATTGCTGGCACTCAATTAGCATCAAAAATATATCACTTTCTATAAGTATATTCAATATGTTTATCAGTAGAGATAAAATAAAATTCTGCAATAAGCGTGGAGAGATAAACTAAAAATAATTAAACACCCATCTTTCTAAAACAGCACAAGCTGTTATGAAATATAGAGATAGAGGAACTTATTGACATAATAAAGGTTATTCCTGATATAACATGCTTCTTCTACTCTGTTGTCAATCAAAATTCACCTTTCTCACTAATCTTCAGAAGCTTCACAACTTTTGTTATTTGGTTTCTGTTTGTATCAATTGAAAAATCTCACGTTGGTACTTAGAGAAAAAAAGACCTAATTTAAACAATCTTTAAGTCTTTTTTTTTTTCCCCCACATTATCAGACTTCTGTTGAGCTTCTTTTTTTCCAAAGCAAAGCTAAGTTACATCATATTTCTTAGACAGGCATCTTAATGGGACAAGTGGCTGTGGAAAGCAATCAAGTGCACTAGATTTTCATGAGTTTTAGAAGTGATGTTGCAGTCACATTTTTAAGTCGCTGAAAAAAAGCATGTGAAAATAACAGACTGTTCAGTGTGCCTCTATCTTGCTGTTCCTCAGGTATTACCCAGCAGGAATAGCCATCACTGGGGTGCCTGTTCAAAGGAAATCCAGACTCCATCTACACAAATTCCATTTAACTTGGACATCTAACATCTAACTGTGCATTATTGTTGGTAAAGCCTTCATCAGAACTCCAAGTGCCTACCTGTCCCCCATAGCCTAGGTGGAATAGTCAGGGAGGTAACTGCACTGCACATTTAAATATAGCTTACGTGGAGAGTGGCAGAAATCTGTGAAACATCAGATCATTTCACAGCAGCACAGACAGTCCATGAGCATTTCCTTGGTCTCCTGGAGACTGCCTTACCATAATTGCATAGCCACAATCTAGAAGTGCAGTTGTGAAATGTTTCTGTGAAATAGATTTTAACTAAATAAAAGCTATGATGACTTTTCTGCACTTAATTTTTTTTTGTCTGCATACTGAAATGCAAGGATATGAGAAATAAAAATTGGGATATTGATAAAATAAATCCAAAATGTTGGATTTATTTAATTATCAAAAACCTAGTAGTAGGAAAAGTGTTTTACCTTCTGAAAAGTATAGTTTCTAAAGAAAACTAACAGGTTCATAAAGTCTACCAGAATTGAAGAATCTTCAAGTTTTTTCTTAACTTATTGGAACTTCAGAGGGGAGCATTACAGCTGTATCAGTACAGCACAGTGCTTAGCCTAATTAGTCCCAGCAGCTGCTTCTATAATATTAAGCTGAGAAGAGTAAAGGAATAATACTGAGCACATGTACCCAGCTGTGCAGCACGCAGACCCTTGTATGGTTTTGGCATGGGGCCAGCTAGCTTCTTTCAGATAAACCCCAAAACATATACAAGGTTCTGCATACATGAGTGTATGGGAACTGTTGAGTCACAGCCTGAAACACTGATTGAACACCTGGGGAAAGGATCCAGTCAGCCCTGGGAACAAAGATGAAAGCAATTCAGCTGCATGACCAGAAGTGGTGAAGCCTGGCTGCACCTCTCCTAGACCCCATTTAAGGGCTGACTGCTAACAGGGAAGGTTCTGTCTTTGCAGATTCCTCTTCTGTGGAGCCTTTTCTGCAAACCTAGATCTTTGGATAGAGGTGAGCATTCCTTCCCTGTTTGCTTCTTTTCTCATTTTCACCGGGATGATGTTTCTAACAGTGAGGGAATATTCTTAACAAGCATTTTGTCATGTTACTGTGTTCTGGTAAATAGGAGAGTCTAGCTGTACAGCTGCTGTGTATTATTTAGCCCACAAGCTAGATAATGGGAAAGAAAACAGTCCAGAACCATCATAGAAATAGATAGTGAGTCTCTGCTATGGCTGTATTGCCTTTAAGGGCCAAACCAGTATCTCCCATGCAATATGGTTCTGCTTCTCCACTCCTTCAGGTTTGTTTTCTTTAGTCTACACTGTACTATCTAGACCGAGGGTGAGTTGTCTAAATTCTTCTTGGCTATTCATCTCTCTCTCTCTGTTTCAGTTTCTTATACTCAAACTGTACACTATAGCCATTCTATGCTCCCACTCTTACTTTTAACTATTAAGTTATTATCTCAGTTTTTTGAGTGAAACTTACCTGCTAAAAAGATGTAGTTAATTATGTGCCAATCTGATACCTTTTAGAAGCTAGCAGCATGCAGGATGAAATGGGGTCCCTTAGTTCCTTAAGGAAAGCACAGGCAAGTATTTGTATTGTTTTTTTCATAAATTTATTAAGCTGAAAATTACTGTAAGCTTGTATGTGTCCTCACTGCTCCAAGGGGAAGATTACTCTAGAACTTTGCTCTGCAACCATCAGAACATTCTGATGCAAAGTGAGAATTTCACTAGTCTGTTTGCTCATGTGCTACTGGTATTTGTTATGTTAGCTTGTATAGTTCCCTGTTTCCCATTTGGTATTTACTGACTGCTGTAGTTTTAAAGTCAAACTCTGTGAGGCCTTACACTTTGTTGCTTAAAGACAATGAACTGTACATTTACTCAGTCTGTGTGTGAATAAATTCCATTGGTTGTTGATTCATTATTTTCTAATTATATTTATTCATATTTATCATCAGTTTGCTCCACTATAGGGTCTGCTGGGTCTGGGTCTGCTCTTCAGCTTGCTTTTCTGCTTCATGAGCTACATCCCTACATTCTTGAGCTGTGTGTAAACGTGGAATGGAAGTGTCTGAAGGCTCAAGATGGATAGTGCAGGAAGCTGCATAGTATATGAGGTAAAAGGAATCATAGTATTAGCAAAACGTGATCTCTTATCATCTGATGTCAGAATAACAGAAATGAGATTACTGCTGGTTTGAAAGTGTAGAAAGGAGTGGATCTGGAATGCAAAAGCAGATATGGCACCTGGGGTGCAAGATAAAAATTGCATTGATTATGCTTCAATTATTTTCCAAGTAGTTGTTTACAATTACTGTAACATTCTTTTAGATTTTAAGCATTTGTGTTGCTTCATATGTTTTTCATTTCTAAATTGTAGCTTAATTTCCAACAAACAGATTTCTGTTTCTCTACTAAATAATGCATGGCAGAACTAGCTGAACATTTGCCTTCATTCCCCAGCAAATCTGAGAATACTACCATCTGATCTTTTCTAATGGGGAAAAAAAAACCAAACAGATAACTTTGCATTTAGGGTTCATTAAATGTTCCATTATTTTTTTCATAAGAAAATTACCAAGAGTTCTTATCATCCTACTTTTGGAAATAGTGTACCATATGCAGAATAAGGCATAACATTTTCCTTTTTCCTGTTTGCTGCTCCACAAGCAATTTTAGAAATACATATTTTTGTAATGTAGTTCTCTTCAGTAATGACATTTCTATGTTATCCAGTGAAAGCCTGGGATAACCTCTTTTCTTTAATAACAGATTTAACCAAGTAAAAAAATATGATAGCAAATAAAGAAGAAAACAGCTCCTCACAGTAAATTACTCCTCTACCCCTTATTTTTAGCAGTTTATTAGAATGGAATAAAGAAAGCAGATCCCTGTAAATAAAGTTACCACAAATAGAAATATCTATAGAGTACAATGCAGTGTTTCATAGATATAAGAGAAAGGTACCAACTCTTTTGCTGTAGTAGTGGGGGTACTATGGTTACCCATATTGGAAATACATAGCATTTCATTCCCAGGCACATAAGTTAGGTCCTTGGGATGAGAAAAACAAACAAATCAGGCAGAAGAGAAGGACCTGCACCAAAATTTATACTCTGCATGTAATAAGAACGTTAGCGCACGTCGTGTGCCTGAGAATTAGGCTTTGCCCATGCTGAGTACAAGAACACAGAACACACACATTTTCTTGCTTTGCACAGACCAAGAAGGCTGCTTTCTGTATCTGATTTGCCATCCCTATATTTTGTCATGCAGATCTGTCTGCAGTCATGGATATCACCTGGGCTCCAAAAACTTTTCCAAGGGAAACTAGGCAGAGTGATGCAGTTAACTCCCATGCTGAGTATGACTACACGTACTGTGCACTGCATCAGGAAATTAGAGAAAGAATAATTCTTTGTCTGGGATAAAAGAGCATAGAAGGAACAACTAAATCATCATGTAGCAGAAGAAAAAATGCTAGTAAAATACGTTCTGGTTAGTTATCATCTACCTAGCTGGCTGTCCAGTTGGTACTGCTAATAGCTAAAGGATAAACCATGACAGATATTTTCCCTGTTGCATGTGTTCTGCCTTTCTAAATGGTCAGTTTAAAAAAAAAAAAAAAAAAAAAAAAAAGTTTTTAGGGTATACTAGCAAGGATTGAGGTGCACAACTGTCACAGGTTTTATTTGCTAGCCAAAATGACAGTGAAGTATGCTGCTTTGGTCAAAAGAGATGTTGCTTTAATTAGAAATTGGTGCCACGCTAAGTCAATGAAAATATAACTACACTTGATGTTGCCTAAGAGTGGCTATCTGCATTTTCTTGGTTGGCATGTAGGCAGAATGTGCTTGTGATTTTAATGTGAATTCCTCTTTCTCCATCAAGGCTTGGTCTGGGCAGACTGTAATATAACATGACCTAGTATTCAGAAAATAAGTTGTTGGAAGAGAATTCTAGGGATAAAACTGAACTATTGATATTGGTATTGAAATTGTCTATTTTAGCACGTGGTATGAGAATTCTCCAGAATCTTGCCACAAAGCAAATAGGGACTTCAGTAATGCAGGTGGGGAAGACTTTTGAGTATTTAGCAGATCTGCAACTCAAACTTTTTGATTTGACGAAGAGGTGAAAATAAGTGACGGTTGGCCATAAATGTATTAAGAAATATATGGTAATAACTACATGGTAACTTATACTGCTTTTCATCTGTAGATCTCAAAGTTTGCAAAAGAAGGTCATGACAACATCAAAGATATTTGGAGATTATTCAAATGTCATCGAATGCAAGATTTGTCACCTTTATGTTCTACAAAGTGACTTCTGAAGTACTGTAGAGGATTGCATGTATGAGAATTGCCTTGTGAATAAAATAATACGGCAGACAAAAAACCCTCACAAAAATACTGCAAATAATTTATGTAAAGTTGTTACTTACAGACTTTATGTAGTTTTTTTTATATGGCATAGAATTCTTGATTAAATATTGTTACTTTCTAAGATATTAAGCTCTTGAAATATAAATTAAAATAGTCTTTCCCCATGTTGGACACACTTGGTTCCAGCTGACCCCACCTTAGGGCATGGCTGGGCCTTGTAGCCAAGATGGAAGCGCCTTTGGAAAAATGCATTTAAGAAAGGGTAAAAATGCTTCACAGACAGGGAAGAAGGGAAGAGAAAGTGAGAAACAGAGGAAGCAACAAGGTCATAGAAGAAGGGAGAACATATTGTTTTAATATTTTTATTTGTTTCTAATACCCTAATCTTGTCAATAAATTTTGTCCAAATTCAGACAGTTTTATCCACAAAAGTAACTCGTAAACTCTCCATGTCTTCTCTTAAACAATGTGAGTTTAATGCTATTTTCTCCCCACTGTTCTGCTGATAATAAGAAGTGGGTGAGCAGCTGGGTGGGCTAAGCTATTGTCAGTGTCAGTGTTTCTAGATACCAAGTAGGGTAAGGAGAAGTTAACTTCACCTGAGATTATGTATTATGTAATAGATGTAAAGCCTGACTTTACATAGTCTTCCCATACAGTCAAAAAAAAAAAAAAAGAAAGGACAGAAAATCAACCCTGCAGCTGCTCTTATTGCTCTGTTGAACAGACCAGGTCAGGCTTACATGCACTTAAGTATGGAATGCAGGCAACATTCCACCTATAGCTTTGTTTTAGTCTGCACAACTTATCTTGTCCAAGAGGATTTGGCACATGTTCTGATCTTGAGTCATTCCAGCTGGTGCATCTGCCCCAGGTGAAGACTTAAATCCTAACAGATAAATTGTGTTAGAGTTGGAGACTGTATGCTTCTAATCTCTGTGCTACAAGGGAGGACTTGGTGAACTGCATTAGGGTCCTGGGTCTGGGGAAATTTGTCCAGAGTCCAGAGCAGACTCTTTTAGAGTCTTAGCTCAGATTTTCTCGGGATTTGCCGAGCTGAGAGTGTTTCTGTCAAAGCAGTTCCTACAGCTTTAGTGAATGACATTCATACAAAAAGGGAGTGAAATGGTTTCACATCCTCTGAAGTATTAAAGTATCTTCCAGACATTCAGGCTGCTTGTCATTTTTTTTTTTCCCTGCAATATATACCTACAACTGCAAAAAAAAAAAAAAAAAAAATCTTTTTCAACAGAAGTCTGCACAGAAACAAAGTGCAGAATTGTAAGGCCTCAATGTAACAAAAAGTATTTGACAGTAATAAAGACTCAGGAGTAAATAGAATTGTTAGCAATAGATTAATTTATTTAGCATATATTTATATTATTTATAATTGAGCTTTCTATTCAGCAACTTTCAGCAATCTTTCTTATCACTTGCAAATGTGCTTGACAGTTAGTTAACTACAATTTTACTACAGTGAAAACCCAACTGGTTCATGGACCAAGACATGTACTTTTTCAATTATAACTGTTATGCAAGTTATTTTCTACTGTCTTATTGTGATGATAGGTGAAATAAGATCTGTAAACATTCTGTATCAGAATAGCATACAAAAAATGGGGCGTTTTTGTAAGGGACTGAAGGCTAATTCAAACCTGCCGACTGAGAGATGCTGCCAGTTAGTATTTAACACAGGGATTTCTGGATTATTTCCTCATTTTTTTTTTTTATGCTTGTCAAGTCATTTCTTCCTATGCAAAGCATTCCAGCACACATATGCTTTAATTCAGAAGGGCAAAACTAGTTTGCATACTAGAGTGGTTCTTGCCCTGTGTACCTTCAATTTTTTAATGCAAGCCTTCTAATGCTGCTTTTCTAAAAGCCAGACTCACCATTTTTTTCTCTCCCCTACCATGCACATTGTAGAATAAAATGGAAAGTCGAAGTAGCCTCAGATGGGGCTGCACTTTACTTCCCTTGGTTGGCTCATGTAAGTCACCTTATTGTGTGAGGCAAGATATTCTCATTGAAAACCGATCTTCCCATTCTGATTCTCTGTGAAATCTCAGCGTGATTTTGTTTGTTAATTTAGTTACATTAGCTGTTCTGCTGGGTGCTTCCCAAACATGAGAAAATATTCTGTAGTCTGTTCCATGAAGTTCTGTAATCAGTTCTTGCTATGAGGGACATGAAGGATACTCCAATCTTTGCTGAATGTATGGAGAACTGAGTTTACTTTATAAAGATTACATCAAAAGGCAGCTGAAATTCAAACTCTATATTAGGGGAAGTGGGTATTACCCTTAGTACTTGGTTTCTAAAATCTTCACATTAGTATCTCAGTCTTTCGTATTTACACAGCAGTTTGTCTGCTGTTGATTTGTATACAGCTGAAGTTGTAGGTCTTCAAACATTGGTGTTTATTGCTTTTTTTAGGTTTTCTTTTTAAATCTTATATTAAAGGACAAGCATTGAATTAAAACGTATCTCAAACTTAAGGCAGCAAGTCCTAAGTTTCCTCAGGGGAGGAAAACAAGTCATGTTATTTTCCTGAATGTTGTTTGTTTTAGAATTTTTAGAATATCATACCTTTGATAGTATTTAGACAGAGATATATTGCATAAATATTTTTTTGTTTTGATTATGTTCAGTAGCACGAGAAAGTCAGTAATGCTGAACTAGTATTGAAATTATAAGCAAAGAAAATCTTAGGTTATTGAACTATTTGATTTATAGTTTAGTAGTACAGAACATCATACCTGTACAGCAGTTGCTGTGGGAAAAATATGAATATTGATATAAAAATTGAATTATTCATTAGTTTGTCTACTATACAATAGTGTTAATCATATGATGGAACTTTTAGATGAAATACTACTGTGCAAAATAGAGGAAAAACTAAGAAAGACCAGAAAAGATTATTTTTCATTGACTTTCTCTGCTGATACTTGGACATCCATACAGTTTCTAACTTGGCCAGTGAAATCCACTGAAGTAATAGAAACCTTTACATTGGACTCAGTTATTTTTTGGCTCATGGTAAGTCATTAGCCTGGACTGTGCCCATTGTGTGTACGCAACTGGACAAAATGCAGATTTTTTTATGCCAAACTTTTGCTAAGATTTAAGTGTATACTTCACTGCTTTCCTAACAAAGAAGGTCTTGCTGTTAGTGATTTTTCTCTGACAAATCCTATGACCCTTTGGTATTATCTGTCTTTGATAGTTTTAATGTTTAGGAGTTGGTTGGTTGGAAATCTCAATTTTGAGTTACAGAGAAAACTGCTGTAACATCTAACTCCTTATGTACTAATGATTTCTATGCGTTCCTTACTAATACAATTCTCCTCTGGTCTGTTTTTCAGATCAATTTGCATTCTTTGACTTTATATGTTGCCTGGTACTATTTGTACTTAATATTTACTAGCTTGATATGAATTTGCAGACAGCTGAAATCTGCTTTTGATTGTTTCCCTGTAGAAAATGCCTTCAGGGCTTTTTCCAACTTCTGTTGCATTACTAGGTACTTCAAACCCTGTGGCACTTGCAAAGTGTTTGTTTTTCACAGCTGTCATAATATGCATTTGGTTCCTGGTACTCAGTTTCTTCCACTAATCTTTTGACTAAAAAGTATCTTTTTTCTAATTTTGCCTATCTCAAATTTCTAAATGTTAACTCTCTGCTTTATGTACTTTAATCAATTTTCCTAATCAGCTAGAACAGTCAGGTAACTATAAGACCATTACTCTGTGTATGTGTCCAGCCCTCAAAGCACCACTAGCCCTGACTATGCCTGTTACACCAGGGCTCATTCCATACTGATTTTGACCCAGAGCCTCATGTCAGCTCTGAGGTCACCAACAGGGTTGGTGTGCAGCTTCCCACAGCCTTCCCCTACCCAGCCATGGGCCCTACCAAGCCAGATCCACATGCAAGCCCAAGACCTAGCCTGACTTGGCCTGTTCTCATCCCTATTGGAATGCCTGGGGCTGCCCCAGTGCCCCCAGCTGCCTTGCTCCTTGTAGGGCAGTGGGATGAGGCCTGGTGCCATGACAGCCATGGGAGACCCCTCTCCACATCTTGAGACCCATGTTGCACCCTGAGGGACTGCTCATTCTCTTCAAAGCAGCCTAAATCTTTGCTGAGGCAATAACCAAATCTACAACGCTCAATAACCAAATCTACAAGTCTCAGAATCTTACAGAAGAGAGGTCTGCAAGATTTTAGGATCTGAATTTTAAATCTAATTGTTAGCTCCCAACACCTTCAAAGAGTAAAATAAATGACATGCACTTGATCTATTTATAACTGTGTGTCAGTATGTCATCCCTGATCTTTAGTTATCTGTCTGGAATTAGTACCAGAACTCTCACGTTTCTTAGTTCCTTCCCAACTAATAAAAAGCAAACTATCAGCCATCCAGTGATGAGTGCTTGTTTTGTGGCATAAAACATAATTTTGGGTTAAGGGGTTGCTGAGCTGAACAGGGAGAACTGACTCAAACTATAGTGCTGCAGAGATTAGAAGCTGCTAGATGTCCATATCAACAAAAAGATTCAAAATACTAAAGGAAACAAATACTTGTCTTTCAGAGAGAAAGAAAAAAAAATTACTAAAAAAATATTCAGCAGAAGATGTATGTGTCTTGCTCTCTGTTTTCATGTAGTGTTCCTGTAACTAACAGGACTGAACAGGGCAGAAGCCTCCTTGGGAGGTAGGGTTGCTCTTTCCTTTCACAGCTTCTCAAGGACAGAAGGTCACAAGCAATATCAAAGAGGCATAGCAGGGAGGTAGGGATTTGCACTTAATACAGACACTGACAAATTACTAGAAAGGGATGGAAATGTTTCAGGTAGAGGGGATCAGAGAAGATTGTGAAGATTTTGCTGCACTTTGGAAGATCTTGGAGTTAGTCAGGTGAAGTCAACTCTGCAAGTAGACGTCCACAAGAGAAGGATGCATTAACCAAAAGGTATAAAATCACAAAGTATTCAGATTTTGACTGATACAATTCCTTTGAGTATTTTTTTTTTTACATAATAGTGAAGCATGGTTGTTTTTATTATTAAAAAAGCAAAACAAAACAAAAGATCTCACAAAAAACAAAACTGGAACAACAGCAACAAAAACCACCAAGTTGTCTTTTTTGAATATAAAAGCCATTCAGATTTTCCAGAATATCAAGAAACAGGCCCTGCTGAGCTGCCTCAAACCTACAGACAGAGACAGGGACAGCTGAAGTCATTCAGGGACATCCTGGAGTGCTGAGCTGAGGATAGTGCTCAACCTGACAGAAGCCAAGTCAGCTCTTTCAGGAGGACCCACAGACATTTGGTCTGCATATCAGTGGAAGAATGTCAATGATTATCATTCTCTTGAAAGACAGGAAGGGAGCTGTGCAGGCACTGAAACAAAACGAAGAAAAGTGGGCAATATGGTAACCTTAAACTGAATTTTGTAACACTTAACAAGATCAAATGGCTGACTAACATAAGAATCACAAAATCATAGAATTGTAGGGTTGTAAGGGAACTCTAGGGATCATGGAGTCCAACCCCCTTTTAAAGCAGGTTCCCTACAGAAGGTTGCACAGACAAGAATCTGGATGGGTCTTGAATATCTCGGAAGCTCTGCAACCACTCTAAGAAACCTGTTCCAGTGGTCTGTCACTCTAACAGGA